TAAAGGAACAGCTTAGAAAAATAAAACTATATGGGGGTATACATCCTAGTTTTTAACTTTTTACTATGGTTGTTGAGATGGAGTTTGATCTCTGGAGTCAATCTTCTGTAGTTGCGTCAATTCTCCTTCTACTGGAGTGTTAGAATGTTTTTTTGGATTTCGTCTCGGGCTATTCTTTGTCGTGTTGAGTTTTTCTCGATTTTTAAAATCGAAATGGAAGAAAAAACAATCCTTTTTTGAAAAACTTTATTTTAAATATTAAAAAAGGAAAAGTAAGAACAATTTTTACGGGAAACTAATTTCGAGTGATTTTGTTAGTTGCTGCTGACAGCGCAAACTGAAGCATTTAAGGTTTCAGGCCAGTCCTTTTGCTCGTGAGCATAAGCCGTCAGCTGATACATCTATCAAAGTACTCAGTTTTTTACTGCTCTTTTATTCTCCCTTCATTTTAACGGAGTTTTCAACTAGAGTTCATTTGATTTTTAAAATCAAATAGCCTTTATTCATTAGTCCCCTATGAATGAAACCGCAGCCTTCAGTTTTATCTTATTGAAAAATCATAGTCTTTTATCTGATGCATAATAGTCCATATGCAGTTAATGTTTTTACTGCTCAATCAAAGCAAAGAGGAATCCTGGGAGCCAGTAAGATTTATAAATAGAACTCCTTTTGTTTTATGTTATAATTAAATGGGGAGTGTTAGTGGTCACCTCTCTTTTAAAGTTCTGAACAAGAAAAAATGAGAAATTTTGCCGAATATTTAAAAAACAGTTTTTTTTTTCAAAACAAGAATTTATAGTGTTAATCAGAATAAATCAGTAATTTTCTGATTGAGTGAATAGAGACCTTAGTTTAAAGAGAACACTTTGTTACTTAAAAATTAAATACTGTTGAGATTAAGTAAAAAAAATTAATACAATGGCCTTTTATCAGTGTAGTTTTCGCAATGATACACCGTATTATTCAATGTCCGAATTATTCAAGAACGAGGAGCTTGGGCGAAGGTTCGAAGCGCCAATTATTTTTTTTTGGTTTTATCTGAAATTAAGTATCAAATTTAAATAACGCGCTTGTACCTCTTCTAATTTTAATTGACAATTAATAGACAAGAAGTTGTTGAACGGAGGATCATAATATTTTCGTCAAAAATTTCCTTGCAGAGCATCCTGTTCATAAGAACCACATTGTAACGTTGAAAATTATCATTGGATGCATTAAAATTTCCCGCGAAAACAGTCTCTAAGTACAAAAAAATAGATGCATTGAAAAATCGCTATCATTAATTTATATCTATTTTTTCATGCGAAATTTCAACTAAACTGTGGCTCCTAGCTGATAATTTTACCGGACTTAGATCAGGAAAAAATATAAGCAATCACCGTGTTCCTTCGTTTTTCACTGGTGCACAACATGAAAACAAAAATCAAGCTTCTCCACTTGTTTACAAACCTTCTGGACTCTCAGGGTTCAACACCAACTCAGCAAGCAACTACTTCCATTACTACGGCCTCTGCTACAACACCGGCCTCAACACGATCCTTCACTGTACCACTGCCTAACACAGCTTCAGCTGTCCCTATAGCTGCAAAATCAAAGCCACCGCCCCTGAAAATTCCACCTCCTTATTTTAACATACCCCTGGTTCCTTCAAAGTCTCGAATTGAGAAACGAACCGAAATAGTTAGATCAAATACGCCAGTGTCAGATTCCCCACACCTAATGACAGGTAGGAGACAGCCTGTGCACCCTACTGAATTAAACAGCAAATTGAGTGTTCATTTGGACAAAGAACGCCACATTAATTCCAATGCCAACCAAGGATTTGACATGGATTTAATAAATGCTTTGAATCCTCTAATCAATCGCTTCAAATTGGAAGCTTATCATCCCATACGGAAGATGTACTCAATAACAAATTCCCTCCGTGAGCACCTAAAACTGTATGTTCCCGCGAAATTTTTGACTGCAAAAACGCAAACCCCCCAGTTGGATGAATATACTGAACAGATCCAACGGAGCCACATACATGAGACTCATCCAATCCGGGAGCTTATAAAAAATTACATAATTTAAAAACAAAAACCACCCAGTTAGAAAGAAAGTTTTAAAAATTTATCTTAACAGATTTATATAGCTTTTTAGTAACGCTACTTGGAAATCGATTTGTCTTTTCAACAATAAATAAAGAAAAAAACAAAAAATATAAAAGTACAGTATTTTTTATGAACCAATCCTTCCCATTTACGTATACGGACACTCACATCATCTAATCAACTTCAGGACGAAATTGCAATTTCAAGAAAAAACGTCAAAGGAATAATGAATTGAAATTCAAGCTTTTGAAAAACCAATTAATTTTGATATATTTGAATTTTTGATTTGATGGATAGACTTGTGTAAAATTTATTACATTTATAAGAATGTTAGTTGCATTTATATTCATTAAAGCCTGACTCAAAATTATGTCTACCAAAACTGCAACATCTGCTACCGATATTAAACTCATTCAACAAAAATCTCCGGTTGAATGAAAATAGCTTCGCTTGATTAAAAAGTACCTCGCTTGATTAGCTGGGTAAATTGGAATATTATATTTAGTTTTTTCTCTCCAAATAGGAGGATGAACATGTTCTGATTCCAAATTGAAACAGAAACATAAAATTTATTGTGCTCACAAAGCGTGACGCCGCCGCCACCATGAAATCAATCTGTTTTTATCCCTTTGCAAAATGAATGGAAAAGTATTTGGAATAACTCGTATAACGTTTTAAGCATTAGAAATTAAAGCAACTTCTCTCGTTAATTACGAATAATAACGATTCTTCTCGTAAAATACGAATGTACGAACGGCTCTTCTCGTAAAATACGAATGCACGAATAACACTCACGAGAGATAACGAAGTTAAAAGATAACTTCTTATTTGCTACGACAAATTGGGAGATTTCCCAATGAAGTATAAATAGAAGCTGAAAACTACTGAGATTTATTCCATCGATTTTCTCTTCAACCACACCAACCTATCTCTCTAAAACATAACCATTCTCAGTAAAATATCTAAAAACCATCCCTTAAAATAAATATCGAGTCTAAAGGCAACTTGCAGTAAATTCATACTAACTTCTTTTCTAATAAAACATTTTCCAGCGAATTTTAGATTTACTTTATAAGATAGAAAGTAGAAAGGACCCTTTATTAGCAAGCGTTTTGTCTGACGCACATAAGTATTGCTAACGTAATACTTAGTACAGTTTTTGATTGAAAAACCGTTCGCTTGGTTCATTTCCACCCCCTGATTTCAGCACATTTGATATGGTTTTCATTATGAACTTTGCTTTCGATCTTGATAAACCAAATTGAGCTGAGCAAGTTCTGGAAACAAGCGTCCACGAATATTTGCATGAGATTTTTTTAAATGATTCCCTAACTAATTGAGCAGAACAAAAGCATTGCAAATAATATCTGAAAGCAATTAAACAAAATGAACAGCAACTCAATTTAATACATAAAATAAAATACACCAACCTGAAAGATTTGAATTCTTGCACGACGAAATAATTCCATTTTTGGCCGGCGAGCCTCGCCTCTCACTTCTTCGGTCTCATTCGTCTCATCTTGCTTCCAGGGACCTCGGTGGAACTTAGTCGCCTACTTAACCTTCTTGTGGGCCAAATGTAAGCATAATTTTCTTCAATTAATGCTTTCACAGTTAATATGGTAGGCTATTTTGATGTCAGCTTTGCAGAGAAAAAATGATCACTCTTAACAATTTTCATTAATTTTAGTTTAAAAAACAGTCGACTGATTAGGAGTGATTCCAGTGGTTACTAAAATGGCTTAAAACTTTGAAATAGTTGCAGAATCAAGGATAAGAAATTAAAATCAGCGAAAAATTAAAACAAAGGAAAAGGAAACATCTTTAGTACAATAATGCGAAAGTTATGTTGATGGCTGATTCGAAAATAAAGGCTCATTTCGAAGTTTTCTTTATTGATACATTGAACTGATGCGGTAAAAATTTCGTCGTTTTTTACTTTCACGGATAATCTGAATCAAATATTGTGCAAAACTAAAATAGCTCCCATGACTTCAAACAGATATAATAATACAGTATAACCTTATAATTTGACGCATTTGTCCTTTTCTACATAGAAATAATGAAACGCCCTGTTGGCATTAATTTTGATGCAGTATTGAGAATTATATATTTTTTGTTGATTGAGTCTGATAATATTTACGACTTCTTCAATTTTTCAAGGAAGTGATTTTGTAGAGAATCGGTGCTTATAGAAGAATAGATATGGATTGAATTCATTTGATTTGTAAGAAATGAACTGCGACTTAAACTTCCTTTTGATAATTAAACTTGTACTTGATTTAATTTAGATTTTAATTAATTGTCTTTTAGTCCTTTTTTTCTGGTTATAATTGAGTGGCTTTAGCTGTAATGTATCAATTTGAAAAATAGTTATTTTTTGCAGAGAAGGTGGAATTACTTTTTTTCCAAGATCGCGGCTTTTTCATTGCATTTTATGCTGAAATTCCTGTACATCAGCGCTTCAAAACTTAGCTTTTCACTGATTTTCGCACTGATTTGGTTTTCAAGAATGAAATGTCGAAATTTCTATCTGATATACTTTTTAGGTTTACTGATATTTTAATAACTTTATTGTGTTCAATATTAGCTATAAGCAGCGTTAAAGTGGCTATTTATCTGCCTCTCCGACAAAAACTTGATGGATTAATGGATCGAGGCTCTCCTTGATCTGGGCTCGCTGCTCGAGGAGTGCCGGATAACGTTACCCAGCCCAGAAAAATAGCCAAAATACTGAGTGTAAATCTTAACTGACAAAACAACGCGTTCCTGTAAAAATCTGAGCAGCTGTTATGATGGCACTTACGCTCACGGCTAAATTGTGTTTACTATATGTTTTTCTTTGTAGTAAGAATTTTTTGCTCATTTCTTTTAAAATCTGGTGAACAGTTTTCGTTTATTTTCAGGTGTAGCGAATGGTAATGATGACTAGCTTCAATATGATCCTCAGTATATCTTTGTTAGTGTCCAGTTTAGTAACAGTGGCACTATGTGCATCTGGAAACACGATGGTAGTGCTGAACAAACCAGCCAGTGTCAATCTCATCGACTGCACTCCAGATAACTGCCAGGTTAGAAAATCACGCTGTTCGAAAGGGCGGAGCTCTTTTACTATCCCCCTTATGCACAAGGGTGAAGTTTCAATTATAGGTACAAAATTCACATATGCTTAACCGTTGAATTAGTTCTTATAAGGGTGTCAATTCGTTTATTAGAAGAGGTTGGGCATTGGGGGGGGGGGGAAGAAGGGTGGGGAATAATTAAAGAGATCCTTAAGGACAGTATAAATATTTGACGTTTCATAGATAATTTTTTAACATGGTCAAAACATACAGTGCTACTTGCACAGCAACCGACTATCCTTGTTTACACAAGCAAAGCTTGTATTTTAGCATGATTTATTATTTTTTTCAACCTAAGTCGCAAATAGCGTTGCGATAAAATGTGTTCATTTTGAAAGCATTCATTTTGATCAATAACCAGCTATTAAGTACAGCCAATGCTAAGGGTTTTAACACAGACTATTATTGTATCGACTTCCGTAATGAAAGATTAATATATTTCGACTTCCGTAATGAAATTTGTTTTGCGCTATTAACGCGTAAGCGGAGATTTAATCCGTCTTAGAAATCGTTCCAAATTGGTTGAAGGAAGTTTGTTTGCCCTAATTGATTTATTACCAAGAGCGAAACTTATCACTTTGTACTATATGGCGTGTGGGGGGATGATTTTCACAAATTGATTGAAGGAAGCTTATTAGCCCTAATTGATTTGTTACTGGGAGCGAAATTTATCACTTTGTACTATATATATGGCGTGTGGGGGATTAAATTTTTTTCATGTTATTACTGCTCCTTAGACTGCTCTATAAATTGAGGAATGTTAGTTAGTAAATTTATTTTATTTTCAAATTGACTGGTACTGCTAATGCGACATAATTGGCGTGCGTCACTTAAGAAATTTTGGAGACTCGAATTTTTACTCATTCAGTTTTTCCCAGTAGCGTTATCGGTCATATTTTTGCTTGTGTATGCGAAGTGCAACTTCGCCTCTGTGTAAAATTTCACACAGTTAATGAAAAGATTTTTTGATTTTGATTTGAATTTTGCAGCACTATGAACATCTTTTTAGCTTCAATTTGCTATCAGACAAGTGGATAATTTTGGGTTTCAAGGGATAATCACGATATAAACTAATCAACGATATAATAAACGATATATTTTTTTTACTTTTTAAGGCACTATCTACGAAATAATTAACGACCTATTTAAGTCGTTTTTCAGGCTCAGTTTTTCATATCTGCAGATGGCTTTTCTCCATGGGCTTATTTGACCATTGTTTTTGCACAAAAATGACGCTCCATTTTGTTTTAAAAGTTGCTTGTGTTATTAAACGAGAAAAAGTTCAAGCATGCTAGCAAGCATAGTGTTATATCACGAGTCCTATTTTTTTCCATCCCAAATCGCAAATAAAAGTCTTCATTTGGTGTCATTTTCCTGCATTAGCATTGGCAATTAATTAGCATCCTTTGTCTCTGCTTTATTGATGGCTACTAGTGTTTACTGGTTGACAAGCGGCCATGGTCCAGTTGCGAGGACCTGATACTCTTAATCTCCAGTTCGTGGGTTGGATTCGGGAACCAGACAGTTTTTTAAATTTTACCTCTTCTCTCGGTTTGGCATTCTTGGCAATAAAAAATGAGCGCTTCCTTGGCAATGATTTTTTTAATAATAAAAAATATTTTGCAAGATATTAGAAAGAATTTGCTTTGTTGCTCCTTTTTTTTGAAGGCAGCAGTAATCGGTTGTGCCTAAATTATTAATGCTCTAAGTTTTCGTCTAGGTCTTTCTGTGGCACCGCACAAAAAAGTGACACAATTTTGAAAAAGAAAAGATGTTTTCTAGTTTTTTTTTCAATGAATGTGGTCGGAGTTTTCTGTGCTCCTTCCACAGCAACCGGCTACTCTTAATTTCTAATTTTAATCGTCATGCAATTGTTTCTACCGCTTATTTAAATACATCAGTCTGAGAAACTGATGAATGTGAATGACTTCAAATGTGACTTCAATTGAGTTATAGAAAAAATTTATAGGAAGTTTCAAGTAAAATTCTGAATTTAAATTTCAAAAAAGTTTCCCTGTAGCCACCTGTGTTTCCCTGTGTAAACATTTGACATAATTTACAAATTTATCTCTTTTGATAGTCCTGATACAATGCTTACACTACTATAGCCACCTGTGTACTGTAGCCACCTGTGTTTCCCTGTGTAAACATTTGACATAATTTACAAATTTATCTCTTTTGATAGTCCTGATACAATGCTTACACTACTATATCTACAGGTGACCCATGATGATCTAGTCGAAGTGGCCGCTGCTGCCTCTCTCAAATCCTCATCTGTCAATTCCGAAGTACCCTGGATAGAAGCCTTTGGACTGACTCCTAATAGCAGACCATCTAGAGTGGTAGTGGTAGTGTGTGGTAAGCATGATTGTTTGCTTATTATTTTTTTATTTTTGAATAAATGTGGATTTTTACGCCAGCTGTAATTTTTTCTCCAGACAAATTTTGGAAGAAAATAAAAACAGTTTTTGAACTTTTTTCAACTAATTTTTTAAAGACCTCGACATCCTGGGTCTAATTTACAATTAGTAGTCAATGAATTACCGGGCGATCACTCATTCCAAAAGTCGAATATCTGAAGCTAGTGTTTGGCGATCAGAATTCAGTATTTAGAAATATGAAGAAAAAATGAAGTTGAAAAATCAGAATGTTTTAGACAGTTAAAAGGATGTTGATTGCTTGATATTTTTCAAGCAATCAGTCCTTCCGTCTTGAGAATAGCCCCCTTATATGACCATTTTTGTAAATATTTGATTATTTGGAGGCTGTCTTACTGGACTACTCTTAAAGTTATTTTTAATAACATGTGTTTGTCGCTTCGCCCATGTGTTTGAGTTTGGCATACATAAAAGTTATCCAATGGCAAACACTTATGATTGTTATCTGCATCATTGTAAAATCAATAGTTAATGAACAAAGTCTCTTTTAAACGGTAATGGGGGTTGGTAAAAGAGTTGAAGCATTTGTGTTCGATATAATTTCAGAATCAACGGACGCCTCTTTCAAATCCTCATCCAACTCGCCTCAGTTCGACTTCAGACTCACTGACTCATGTCACCATGTGTTTGGAGAGGGAAGTGACGAGAGCATCAATTACGTGGAGATGGGCTGCGAGCAGGGAAGAGGGGTTGGGAAGTGGGGGGAGAACGAGTTGGTTGTGGGGGTCCAGATAAGTTCAGAAGGTAAAAGACGGGGTTGGGGGACTGTTCGGTGATTTTAAATTATTATGATTTTAAAGTCGATGTTTTTTTTCATACTCCTCAAATTACTACAGAAGTGCATTCGTACTTATGATTGCATGTATGAATGCACATAGGTATACAGGGCTGGTTACTCTAGCGAGCATCTAGTGTTTAAGTACGAACCTTTGTTTTCTAAACTAACTCGCAAATAAAAGTGTTCATTAAAAGTGTTCACATGTAGGCTTTTTTGCTATAATCCCGATCTGTTCTCGGCTTTATTTGTGGCTAGTGTTTGTGATGGACTAAGCGTCCGTGGCTGAGTGGTTAGTGCGCGACAAATACTAGGCCTACTTAGAATCGTCTTAGAATCGAGTCCGAGACGTCGCCGAATCTTTTTTAATTCGAGGCTTATTTTTGCTTTGTTTATTGCACTTCTTAGAACTCTAGAACTGCTTTTTGACGAGTTCTCGCATTACGAGGCCAAACTGTGCACTAGATAGGAGCACAATTTTGTGTCTGTATGTTCCTGGACTCCAGAGACAAGTCTTTAAACATGTGAAAATTTTGTCGGAACGATGAACAAAAGAAGAACAAAGGGAGCTTCCTTGTTGCGGAATCCACTTACACTGCACAAAATGCACAGTTTGGCCTCGTAATGCGCTTGTGTTTTTGAAGCGCGGGTTCGCCTCTGTGTTTAAATTATCCGGACAAAACGCATTTAATTTGAAATTTAAAACGTGTTTTTCTGAAATTGGTTTGAGCTCAGACAAAAATTGATGAAGGCAAAACTTGCGTAGAATTTCAGCTGAGTTAGTTTGGTGCAATTTGTTTTAATTGTTATAATTTGAGCTTTGATATATTTTTTGTCATTGATCGACTCGGTAGTTTTTGGCCTAATTGTCGATTGACTAATAAAAACAAAAATGATACATTTTTGAGGTAAAGTTTTGGCCCGAATGTTGCAAATCAAGATGCACCATATTAATTCTGCTGAAATTCTAAGCAAAACTTGTCTTACCATTTTTTGTCAAGTCAACGCAATTTCAGAAAAACACGTTTTAAACTTCAAGTTACTTTCGGTTTGTCCAGATGATTTAAAACAGCCCTGTATATGCACTATTTGAGTTCAAATGAAGCTCATTGGCTAGAAAAAAGTGATATATGACAATAGGTGGTAATTTTGAGTATTGTGCATGTATTAAATTTGAGAACTATCATGCATAATATAGTCATTTCATTTTCAATCACTTGTACTAAGACTAAGATTGTTTTTTTAATTACATTACTGTGCCAAAGGAAATGCTATTCATACTTTAACATTTTACGCATCTTTTGCCTAAAAATTTGGCTTCGAAATAATTTTTAAATAATGTGCGAAGTATGACAAAAAGCGATGCAGCTATTGAATTTGATCCTACCACCTATTGTAATATATCACCCAATTTTTTTGCGCCTTTTTCATTTCTCAACATCACTTTTCATTTTCATAGGGGAGTTCAAAATAAGTTTGACCAGCGCAGTTACAAATAACCTATTGATCAGAATTGCCTATTTGTAAGGCATTTCAACTGTATCAAAAAATCTATATCTTAAAGTTTTATTTAAAAGAAAAACAGGTTAGATTTCTAACCCTTGTTGAACGACTTTGTACTGTATGTTGGCTGTTTCAATACTCTAAGTCGTCATATTATTTCTATTTGAAATTAATTTTCTCCGATTATAATAGTCAACTTGTGAAAAGCATGAAAACAGGCTAGGCTAGAACATTAGTCTTATTGTGCTCTCTCAAGTACTGGGCTTAATTGTAAAAGAACTCCAAGTGTTAACATAGGTTTGTGTACTGACCTCACTTTGAAACAACACAGGAGCTCTTTAACTACCTCCCACTCCCTTTTCAAAAAAGTTACTAGGTACCATAGGGGTGCGGGTAAATAGTTGAAGAGTTCCACATTTTTTTAAACTAAAGATGGGTTATTCGATTTAGAAGCTCAGTCGATGCGAGTGCGTCGTCAAGCCGAGGAATCTTCCGACAAGCAACAAGCAACAGCCTCAGGTCCCCCACGCAACATCTACTATTTCAGAAAAGAAGGATCAGCCGCCTCCTTTGAGTTCGCTGTCTGGTTTGCGATTGTATTCGCAATTGCAGTGTTCCTCATTTGTGTGGTGTTGATGCAGATCGACCAAGGAGATGACTCTATCATTTACAAGACCACATCGGCAAAGATGGGAAAACGCGACTAAAAGGAAGGATACTTAGCTGGCGTGAACAATCAGAAAGAGTAGATCAACAATCGCAGAAAAATTAAATGATGAAAGAAATTTGAGTGAATGGATAAGACAGACTAAGTTGAATAAAAAATGACGTGAGATTTATAAAGAAGTTAGCAAAAAGTTTGTTCTGAAGTTAAGTCAATTATTTTAAGTTAGACCGTAAAGTTAAAGCCCACTGTTAAATAAGCTTGTTAATTTCAAAAACGAATAATAGACAAACAGTTGCAGGTTTTGGACCAACTCATCAGTTTTAAATGAAAAATGGTTTAACGATTTCAGAAAAAAAAGGAAAAATATCAAAAAATTGTTTCTGAATTGCTGAACTTTTGGCTACTCAACTTAAGAGGAATTATCTTCAAAAAGAAAATTTAACTGTTTTGTGAAACTTAGATTTTCTCATTGAATATTCATATAAGTGTTGCTATCAAATTTTCCAATGCGAGAAAATAGTTTCGTTTGTTTCTTAAATTGTATTCAGCGCATCCGAATAATGAGAACTTAGTCAAAAAGGGCATTTGGACCGATTATTGTACAAATTTATAATGACGTATGTATATTTTTGAAGTTTTGAGGTGTATTTGAAGAAAGTCAATGCATGAATATTAAGTTACATATTTAGCTAGAGTTCCATTTATCTATTCTGGATTTATATTTTTGTTTCCATCGAATTGTAGTTATATATTATTTAATTTCAGAAGTGAATCAAATACAGGTTTTCGAATGTTTTCTACTTTAATCTGCTATAATTTAAAGGAATTTCAATCAGTTTCTATATAATTCAGTATTTGATTTCAAGGTTTTCTTTTTAGTTGAAACGTTTGGTTGTAAAAAATTCCCCCAATGAAAAAGACGAGATGTGTATTTTTTGCGAAAAAACTATATCGAATCATTCTATATGTTTTTTTAGAATGCCTGGACTGATTACACAATCTAAGCTTTTTTGATAGTATGAACTCTCTTCTCTGGTACTTCTTGGGCGTTAAAATTGGCTTGAGTTTCTTAGCTTTTTTGGAGACTCATAATTGGCGTGCGTCTCTTAGAAATTATGTCGACTCAAAATTTTACTCATTCAGTCTTTTTTCAGTAGCGTTATCAGTCATATTGTGGCTTCTGTATGCGAAGTGCAGCTTCGCCTCTGTGTAAATAGTGCCTCACTCTTTAAAAACGAGCTAAGCTGGAAATGAGTTTTCAATTTTGAATCAAAGCCGCTGAACGCGTCCAGATTGAGCAGTTGAAGCTCCTTCGAAAGTAACAAAATTTTTTTACACAGCTTCACTATCTTCTGACTGACAGATATTGATACCCTTAGTTAAAAAAAAACATAATTTTTGGGTTCATTTGGTCATTTTGGTTTGAATATTCGCAATTATGCAAATATGTGTTCGATTATTTTTTTTGCGCGAAGACTTCAAATACGATCTGATAGATTTTGATACCCAATGGTTTACATAAAACTTTTTTGAGTTTGCTTTTTCGCACAGTGAAAAAAAACATGCCCTTTAAAAAATGGTTGGATTTTTTTATTCTCGTTTTTTAAATATAAACACTTGTGCCAGATGTTATAGCATTCAATAAAATGATCCATATAAATCAGATTTTAAGCTCAAAAATAGGCAATGAATTTACAGAACATTTTTGTAAAGCAGATTTTGCAAAATCGCATGTAACAAACAAGAAAAGGGTCAGAATAAATTAAAATTTGATCTCAATAACATGCAATTAAATCATAGAAAATTATGAATATAAATCAGATTTTGGGCAAAACTTTTAAAACGAATCAGGAAAATGGTCAATAGAGATCAGTTTTGAACTCAAAATATGCAAGAGAATCATAGAAAATTTGAAAATAGTCTTTTTTATGCTACAATACGCTATGGATGTAAAATGATAGGTATTGAATAAATCAAATATAAAATCAAAACCGATAAATCTCGAATGGAAAAAATCGATTTATATCCGTTTTAATCCCCTTAAAAATAAAAACAAATTCAAACTGAAAAAAATACATTTAAAGTGATTTAAAATCAATTTTTATCTTTTTTCTTTAATCTTAGTACTTCTTTCATACTAAAATCAATCTAATTTTAATCAACGTGCTTTTTTCATACTAAAATTGACATAAATTTAATCAACAAATTTTTTTCATAGAAGAATTGACCCTAATCCATTTTTGTCAGTGTGTGAATGCTTTTCACGTATTCTGGGGTAAAAAAACGTACAGTATCAGGAAGTCAGCCATTTTGATGTTTGGGTACTTTCACAAGAAAAATCGCAATTTTTTTCTTTCTGCGCAAACCGTATAACCGTATAATTTGTCCAAAGACAAAAGTAAAGTGATATTGTGAAAATCCATTGAAAACAAACACTTACAAGAGAGAAAGATTGCCGCCAATGGATGCATACATTTAAAAATACGTTGTCAAAAACAAAGGATAGGTAACAGTTATTCAAAAGCGCTTGGTTTCTGTGATCTGTAAAATCGATGATGAAAAATCAGTTAATCGAAAAATTAACAAGGTGCTGACCTAAAGCAAGTGTACCACCCACTACAGAAAAATTTCTGAGGAAAAACAATTTGAACTAGACAATAATAATTGCAAAATGCGTTAATATGAATCACTATCACCAGTGGAAAAAAAATAACGTTGAAAATTTAGAAACGAACAACAACAAGGACATGAAAAGATTAGAAACAATTGAGTTCAATTGTGTGAGTTTTAATGTTTTGATTAAGTAATAAGCTAAAAAAAAACTGGAAGTTGATTGATGCTGTGCGCGTTATAATGTGAAAATGTCTTACGAGAACAAATCTTCATTTGTTTCTGTTCAAACTTTATTTTTTTTTGAATTTTTACCAGCTGACTTTCAAAAGCTGATCTTCAACTTACTTTCGGTTGGAAATTGATTCTTTGTCTCTTTCTATCTTAAGGTCAAATTTCAACTTGAGTTCATCACTTTCTTCTCTCATTTTTTTCGTTTTGTCTGTAATATTTTTTTTTCAAAAAAAATTAAGTGATTGCGATGTTGTTACCATTCAAAGTTAGGATCAAAAAGGATTGCGCTTCCGGGATTAGGAACAGTAATAGAGTAATTTTTCTACCATTTCTAGAAGACTTACACAGTAAAACGAAACTATTGAGAAACTGTGGTCACGTACTGAAAAAGAAACAAAGCGGAATTTTGAACATTCTTCCAAATTTTGATGTCACCTGTTTTTATAATCCGAGGTAATAATACATAAAAATCAGTAGATATGAAAAATTCCATCACGAAAAAATGAGATAGACTGGAGTACCGCGATTAGTTGGATTTTCCGAACTAAACAATCAATTTTCAGAAAAAAATACCTTTATTTGAACGCGATGAGATCTGCTGTATAGTAAAAAATGGAAACTCGGATAAAAACAGTTGGAGGACTTTTTTCAAGTGAATAAATAAATGTCATTTTACAAAATATCAGACCTTTATGCCAAAACTTTTCCGAATAGCAAAATTTTATCAAAAAAAGTCAATATCTATAGCTTCAACGGAAACAGCGGTGGTATGAAAACACTAGCAAATGCGCATTCACTGGACGGGTATCAAAGCATTGCAACAGCAACGCGGTAAAAGAGTGTTTTTTTTGTAAGTTGTAGGATATAAGTTTTCAACATCTCAAAGTAAGTATGGAGCTTAAAAAAGAAAAAGCCTTACTTACAGTTATAAATGAAACTCCCAACTTTTTTGCAAATTTGGCAAAATTGCGATCAAAAACTCCCCTATGACCGAATCCAAAATTAACTGCAAACAAAAATGTTTCATTTTAAGCTAAGGGTATCAAAATCTAACAATTATGTTCCATTTTGTCGTCCGAAATCTTTTAATTACAATACCAGAGTTACGAAAATTCAAACGCCAAGACTGAGCAAAAAAGCAAGCTCAAAAAGTTTACGTTTTATGTAAATCATTCAAAATCTATTATGTAAAATCTTAGGTATTTTAGCAAGAAAATGGATTTAGTGAGTCTGAAAATCCATCCAAATTGATTTGAATCGATTTTTTAGGCACTTAAATCTATTTAAAATTTTCAACTAGATTGATTTAAATCAATTTAAAATCCTTTTAAGTTTGTAAAATGTACATTGTTAATCAATTTGGGTCAATCTTAAATCGAATCAAAATTAATTCAAACCGATCCAAAACCATTTTTCTCAGTGCCTGTTCAGTCTTGATGGCTGAAAATTAAAAAACAATTGTTGCAAAACAATAAATTTCAATAAAAGTTGCTCTGAATCTTCCGGTTCGACTGAGGGATTCGCGGTGATAATCGAACCCTCAATGGTGTCCTTGTTGTTCCTGTTCCGACACGCGAGCCTCAGAAGCCAGTCTAATGTCGTTGATACCCGCTATTCTTTTCCAGCAAAAATGTTCTCACGGCTTCCCTGATTGGTTCATCTCGGATGCTTCCCATCATGTTTTTGGTCGCTCGTTGATTCGAAGTTGACTCCATGATCATCTTCAATTTTCGTGAAATGTTAGTGTTAAGACAATAGTTGAAATAGAGATATACAATTTCGAGCATTTTGTTTAAAAGAAAACATCTTTCCCAGTAGATTTGGTGAGCTTCCAACCAGCTCATCAGATGTTTTGGTTTTTATGTGTTTCTGGTCAATTCATTTTCTATTCTCTTCTATTTACATATATTCATTTATTATTTTACTATTCAATTTTTACATTCAAGTTTTCACTCCGTAACCTGAGCGAAATGTCATGGCGTAGCCAACAGTTCCTGTGAATGAAGACAGGACTGACCTACTTGGAATCCCTCCTTTCTGATCGGCTAAATCATCGGTTAACTCACTTTTATTTGGGAGACATCGGTGGGACAGTTATTCTCGGCCATAAGCTTGATTGACAACATTTCACCTGGGGAGGTGTTAGTCGCTCCAGCAACTTTAGTGGAAGAACCGTATCCTAAACCCGAAGCTCCGGGACCGTCAGAGGGGGATGCAATGAACAGAAGTCGTCAATTGAGATCTTCGAAACGCAGCCGCGAGTAGGCGAATGGACGTGTACAGTGGGAAGAGGAGATGTAAATGTCCTCGGATAGGAGACGGTTGGTGTTTTCACGAGGCAGAAGTGCGTCTAAAATCCAGACTCTTTCTCTCGCTAGGTAAGGAGGGAAAGAAGAGGTTAATAGATTCGTATCCACATTTGGACCTTAATTCATGCTCGTTCCTCGATTTTCACAAGAGTTGCGAAGATCTGTTCATGGCTGAGCGGTATTACACCGTTGAGCGGGTCAAGCTTTACAATACAATTTTTATGCAAGAGAAAAATTCGTTTTATTCCTTTTAAGCACGTCTCAGCGCACAAACTGCCTTATAAACTGGCCATTAGAACAGGAAAACGCTACGCTCACAGAACTATTTATTGGTCGCATTAGGGACATTGATTTACAACGACAGTTGATCAAGGCGAGGGTTAACCTCGAAGATACTTTACAACTTGTGTTAGAGAGTGAAAAAGGGGCCAAAACTTAAGAACAATTTCATAAACTTCTACCGCACAACCAATCGGCAACAACCGAAAAGTAACTCCATGCGGAGTAAACAAGAATTTACATCCTCGGTACAGCAGTTCTGGAACTAATCAAACGTTATCCGAGGGGGAGGTCATAATCGGCCTAATCAACGCCCAAGTCAGTCAAAACCTTGTTACTTCTGTGGCAATCCGTTTTCACTTGACCATCGTCGGTCTTGTCCGGCCAGAGAGGCCACCCATGCAAAAAGAAGGTTTGTTTTGCTAACATTTGT